CCACTGTCAGAGATCACTTTTCATTGGTTTGGGGTGAGACCTGGGCATTTGGATTTTTAAAAACGCTCCCTGGGTGATTGTAGCTTGCAGCCAGGATTGAGAGCCACCAGAGGAAAGATGGACTTAAGCCTACATCCAAGCCCTTCTGTTTACTGTGTGACCTTAAGGCAAGGAAAGGCGTAGAGAAGCCCCCTGCAGATTGGGGAACTGTGTCCGGCCATCAGCAGTTGTATTCCCTGTACTGGGCGCAGTGCCTGGCACAGTTGCTGCTCGATATGTATGTGTTGAATGAAAGAAATGACGTGTGAATAGGCTTAGGTTTAAACGAGATGAATGAACTGGCCCTGTGTAATGAGTAAGCTGCCTCAGTGTAACTGGTGAGCACACGCATCAGTCAGTAGCCGGGTAACTGGGTGTGGTACCTCTGTTGTCCAGGTGAGAAAGCCGAAAGGTGCGTGTCTCACCCCGGGTCACGCAGCTTGTTCTGCAGCCGGGATTTGAGCCCAGATCTGCCTGACGCAGAATCACATGTGTAGACAGACTTTCCACCTTAGGTCTCACTCCTCACGGTTCCTAACATTGAAACAACGGTCATTTCACCCCTTCTCTCAACTCCTCGTGAGCCCAAACCACTCCTGATCTGGCATGCTTACAGACGATTGTTAACTAGCAACCCTTCTTTCCCTCTTCTCCTTAGTATCCAGTTGGAGACTAAGAAGAAATTCGTATTCTTTTCTCTAGTAGAGTTAACGTTCTATATTAACTTACATCGCTATTTTCGCCCTGCCTTCTCTCTCCTTGTAAAAACCCAAGTTGATGTTAAAGAATGCATCCCCGGGGCCGGCCGAGTGGCTCAGTTGGTTAAGAGCTCGCTCAAGAGTTTGAGCTCTGAGCAACAGCGGTTCGAGTCCAGCCCGAGCTGAGCAGCCGCTGAGCTGCCAACAGGTAGCAGGATGGCTCAGCTGAAAAAAAAAAAAAAAAAAACAAAAAAACTCAAGAATGCATCCCCGTTCAGTTTTTCCTCCCTGTACTTAAACGTTAGAGAGTGCTTGAAGGAGACTTCAAGGAGGTTGTGACACAGAACACTGTGTCTTGTTTTGGACTCTGACTTATCAGTAGAGGCGTACAGGCTAGAGTGTGTTTCAGGGTTAGTTAATGAATTACCTGTTAATGTAGCACTACCCAGCAGGTAGATCCAGGCCTTGGGGACACAAAGACCAAGTAAGATGCCCCCCCCCCCCGACATGTAGTGGGAGGTGATGCATAACTAAAACACAAGCCCCCAGCTCCCTGTCAGGTAACATGCACAGGCGCTCTGGGAACACACAGGAGGGACGAAGTGGGGGGCCAGCAGGAAAGGCCCCAGAGGGGAGCATTTCCTGAAGTGTCCTGTGTAGTGACGTGTACACGTGCACACTCGCACCTGGCTGTATACAGAGCAGTACCAGCACCCCTGAAGCCTCGCGCTCTGAAGGGCAACCGCTGTTCTGATTCTGGCACCAGAGATTAGCTTTGCCTTTCTGTGAACGTTAGAGAAATGGAGTCATGCAGCCTATACTTTTGTGTCTGACTTTCTTTGAGGTTGACCCAGGTTGCTGGTGGTCTTTATTTTCTTTCCTTCTGTGTAGTTTTCAGTTGCACAAACATCCCTGCCTGTGCCCCTGTGGGTGGACATTTGGTTCGTTCTGTTTGTGGCACTTCAGGAGAATGCTCACTGTAACATTCTCGTGCATGTCTTGTAGTGCACACATGACCAGGGGTGACACTGCTAAGCGGCTTTCCAAGGTGCCTGGACCCGTTCGTACTTCTGCCAGTGATGTGCAGGCATTCTGGGGGTTCTCCATCCTCTTCACAATGTGGCATCATCAGTTTTTTGTTCTTGTGGTTTTTCTTTCTGCCATTCTGGTATGATAGGGTGGGGATATTTGGTTTTTCTTTGCACTTCCCTGATGACTAATGATATGATGTACTTTTTCACATCTTATTGGCCACTTGAAATCTTTAGTGAGGTGCCTGTCTTGGGCTGTCTCTCGGATTTGTAGGCATATTTGAAATATTCAGGGTAAGAGTCCTTTGTGAGATATGTGTGTTGCAAAGACCTTCTCCTCTGCTGTGGATGGCTTACCTTTTCATTCTCGAAATGCTTTTTTTCATTTTGTTTTCTTAATGAACAGAAGTACTTAATTGTAATGAATTCTAGTTTATAGAATCTTTTCTTTTTATGGTTAGTGCCTTTTTTGTCCTATTTAAGAAATTCTATGTTATCTTCCAGAAGCTTTGTTTTGCCGTTACCAACTAGATCCACGGTCCATCGGAATTAATTTTCTGTATGGTGTGGATGGTGGTTTATTGTAAAGATGATCCTTCCCACTGAGCCTTTGAAATAAATCAGGTGGCCATATATTTTCTATTGTCTATTTGTCCTTTTACTAATAGCACTAATATTCTTTTAAAATTACTATAGCTATATAGTAGATCTTGATATCTGATAGAGTAAGCCCTCCTGCTTTGTTCTTTAAGATAATTTTGGCTATTGTAGGTCTATTTTCATTTCCATATAAATTTTAAACCATATAAATTATGGTTTTGTTTGGGATTATATTGAATCTATTGATTATGTTTTACTCTATGAAGACTTCTGATCCCTGAATATGGCATGTCCTTCCATTTATTTAGATTTTCTTTCATTTGTCCACAGTATTTTATAGTTATTTTTTATATAAAAGTGTTGTGTTTTTATCATTAAATATATTCCAAGTTATTTGCTATTTTTGGATGGTTTTACAAGTGCCATGTTATAAATGCTTGTTAGAAATGCAAATTTTTGTGTGTAGACCTTGAATGCTGTGATCTTGCTAAATTCAGGTTTTCTAATAGTTTATTTGTGGATTCTTTTGGATTTTCTCTGTAGAAAATCCTGCTGTCTGTAGGTGAGTTTTGTTTCCAATTCTTACTCCTTTCACTTAGTGTTCTTGCCTGTTGCATGACTAGGAACTCCCATACAGGGCTGAACTGAAGTGGTGCTGCTGGGGGAACCTCTTGCCTGGGTCCTGGCCTCTGCCCGGGAAAACGTCCCCTATTTCCCCATTAAGTGTGATGTTTCCTGTGGGATATCTGTTTATCAGATACCTTACTTTTTATTAAAGAGCTTTATCAGGTTAAGTAGTAAAAGTTTTGTTCTCTGAGTGTTTCTTAAATGTTTGGAAGAATTCACCCAGTGAGGCCATCTGGACCTGAGTTTTCTTTGTGAGTTTTTAAATTATAGATATTTTTGGAAAATTTTTTGCTGATGCATAATCATAAAACATGAATATTGCAGGCTGAAGAATTTGAAGGGATGTGGGAACCGGAAGCTGCAGCTTCTGAGGTATGGGGAGAACACAGGTATCCTGAGAGACAGGAGGGGGCTGAAGAAGGGGGCGGGGCTCTGCCTGACTGGCTGCTCTGTGAATGATTGATTGCTCTGGCCTCACCCTGAGCTGCTGATGTGCTGGACCCAGAAATGTGGATTTGACTCCTTGCAGAGTGAGGAATTTGACCAGAAGTTTGAAGTAGGATAGCAGGAATTTTAAGTGTATAGTCAGAACACTGCTTCTCTAACTGGAGCGAGCATCAGAGCCACCTGGAGGGGGGGCTCATGAAAACACAGATTGCTGGGCCTTGCCCCAGTTTCTGATTCGGGAGGTTTGGGTGGGGCTCAAGGATTTGGGTTTCCAACCAGTCTCCAGGTAATGTTGCCTCTAGTCCAGACACCCCACTTTGGGATCCATGGCATTAGTGTACATACATTAGTCTCCCCCACCCCCTCTCCGCCCAATGCCCCCTGTGCTTGGGCAGCAATTTCATGGGTCTTGTTCACTAGTCCAGAGCCTGGCACAGACTAGGTGCTCGCTACCACTCCAGTGCCATGTTGCCTCCCACATCTGATTGTCTTTATTTTTTTTAATTGCACAAGTAATATATGCTCATTTGACTTTTTTTTTTTTTTTAGCAATACAGAAATGTGTAAAGGAAAATTTCCCTCTTGGCCCCTCACCATCTTCTCTTGCCAGAGATGGCCATCTACTGACTGTCTGTCAGACTTTCTGTGCAGTTGGGAGCATACAAACACACCGGCAGGTGGATTTCTTCTTTTAGAGCGACTGTGGAGCTGGTTAGTACAGGACCCTGGTGGGCGCATGAAGCGGGCAGCGTTTCACCGGGGCTCATTGTTGACACGTGACCCAGGAAATGGTGCTGCCCCAAGGGCGGGCCAGCCGTCCTGTAGCAGCTTCCTGTGGGTTTAGAATAGCTTGGTTTTGCTGACCTTGAAGTTGTCCTTGAAAAGTTTTTAATGGTATTTGGAGTCGGGGACGGGGAGAGTCCCTTGGGGGTGGTTCTGATGTAGGTATTTGGGCTCTCACTGAAGTGACTATGATGTGACTCACCTAAATACCTGAGCTCTTCTCACAAAGCAGTGGTTCTGGCACACAGGAGACGCTCTAGGTCAGCGGTTCTCAACCTTCCTAATGCCGCGACCCCTTAATACAGTTCCCTATGTTGTGGTGACCCCCAACCATAAAATTATTTTTGTTGCTACTCTATAACTATAATTTTGCTACTGTTATGAATCGTAATGTAAGTATCTTTTTGTTTTCCGATGGTCTTAGGCAACCCCTGTGAAAGGGTCGTTTGACCCTGAAAGGGGTCGCGACCCACAGGTTGAGAACCGCTGCTGTAGGTTGTTCCTAATGTGACTTCGCCTTCTTTCCCGGACAGAAGTGCCCGTGCGTTTTGTGGCTCATCTGCCTATCCTGGCATGGTGTGTGGCTCTGGGTCTCCGCAGGGCGCTGAGATGCGACATGCTTCAGAGCTGTGTGGAGCCCCAGGAACCTGTCACTCACACTTTGCTTCCCAGACTGCCCGCCCTCCTCCTCCCTGTGACTCGTTAGGAGTCAGAGTCCTGCCCGCCCCGCCCCGCCCCGCCCCTGCCTTTCCAGCTGGTCCACTCCTTCCTGCATGCCTTAACCTTCCAGACCGTGGGCAGCAGGACTCGGAAGGGTGTCCATGGTGCTCCCCTGGGACTGTGGCTCCGGCGTGCTGGGAATGTGGCGAGGGGAGAGGCAGTGCCTTTCTGGCTGGCCTCGCAGAGCTGTGTGGCCACAGTAGACGCCATGTCCTTCTCCTCGACGTTCCTGCTCACGGACAGGTCTGTGGTTGCAGTCTTGCCTTTCTTGCTTTTGTGATTGGAGATGTAACTGGAGCAAGGTTTTTACCATGTGTGAAGGTATTAATATGATTTAGCCTCCCCCGCTCTGCGCCCCCCCCCCACACACACACACTGGGCAGCCTTGTTTCCTGGGGCATTTCTCTGGTTAAAATGGGTGTGATCCTGTGTCTCCACAAGGGATGACTGGGCCAGGAGCTCTCGGGCCGGCATGTTTGACGCATCTGATGCTGGCTGACTCTCCTGAGTTGACTGACCTCTATTTTTAGGAATTTGCTTTTTAGCAGCAGGTGCTACTTGGATAACATTTTCTAAAGGAGGAGAAACTCCACATATTTCTAGCTCTTGGGTGCTTTTAATTGTGTGTGGACTAGGAATTTTTGGCACAGCGATTGACCATTGTAATTATGCCGCAGTCTTTCTCACTCACTTCATCCTTCCTGTGGGGCATCTATCACACAGGAGGTTTGCTTTGCAGAATGCCATTTTGTTTTGCGTGTTTCTGTGATAGTTGAAGTGGGCTGGCCTTGTCCCCTTGCATTTCCAGAGCAGGTCAGAGGGCTGTTGTAAATACACATGGCAGTGGAGCATGCCGGTGTTTGAGGGGTGGAGATCTAGAGAAAAATACCTTTGGAGTGGGCTTTAGAGGAATCGGTCAAGGTTTTCGCCTTCTGTGCCCCGGATGAGTACCAGGATTTATATGTCTCTTCAGGAGCATATTTTTTAACCACACTGAGCCTGTTTCCAGTCTGTGCAATGGCGACTGTAGTACCTTCCTTGTAGGGTTGCTTCATACATCAAATTATGTGACTTGCCTGCTGCAGGAGGAGGCACCTGACAGGTGATCTGTAAAAGGTAAGTATGATTCAGAAAATGGTAGAGAAGATACCCATCTGTTCATGTGGGAACTGAGTGCTACGTGTTCCTGCTTATTTCTGATTGCTTTGGAATCAGAACTTGCTAACAATCTGTTAGACAAAGGAGGGAAAGAGCAAGAGGCCCAAGGAATTATTGAATTAAAAGCAGGAGTTCCAATATTCAGAATGTTGAAGGAGGAGGACTCTGGAGGTTTATTTCTCAAGACTCTGAGACGTTTTGAGAAATCCCTGATGAGAGCTCGTGGCTTGTGGAACCTGCTCTGCCAGGTCAGGGGGTTGCGTCCTTCCGTGGCTGCTGCCCTCTGCTTTCTGGGACAGCCTCAGATACATGGGTCTGAGCCTTGGTTCTGTGCCGCTTAGCTGTGTGTCTCTGGGCAGGACTCCCCAACCTCTCTGAATCCTGGCTTCTTCTATTTTAAATGGGCAGGAATAATTTTCATAATATTTATGAAAATCCCCCAAGAAAGCATGCATTAAATAAATTTGAATGTCTTCCTACATGCCAGAAATTGTTCCAGACCCTAGAGGCTCCACAGTAAACAGAAGAAAGTACAGTGAGCCCTCACTTAACGCTGATCGGCTCTGGAACTTGAGGTGAAATGATGTGTAACTAACCAGTGTTACCACAGGCTGATTGATACAAACGAGTTAGGTTCCTGGCTTCCCATCAGTGTCACAACGAATTTGCATTGTTATTCGAGGACCTGTTGGCTTCACCCTCATGGACTTTAGATTCTGGCCACAGAGCCAAGTCGCAAGTCGCTGATCCCTAGGGATATCTTTGAGTGCCTGCTCCCAGCACACACCTGGTGCTCTAGATGCACGAGCACAGAGACCCAGACCCAGCACCTTACAGTCCTTTTCAGTTGCTCCCGGAATCACCTTCTTTGGACTTCAGTGGCATCTGAAAGTTAGTGAGGTGTGGGGGTGAAATTAACAGCCTCAGCCCCACGACACCCAAGAAGAAAGGGGATCGGTCCTTTGGCTGTACAGTCTCTTGTCAAAAACCGAGAGATGGACCTTTGCATACAAGTCCTTGCCAGAGTTTCATCACCTGTAAGCACGTGGCAGCAGCTGCTGCATTTGTCCCGGGTTTCAAAAGCCAACGAGACAGACTTAGGACATTAATGACACTTGACCTTTAGGACCCCTCACTTGTACCTAATTTTGTATTCATAGTTAAACAATTTTTTTCTTAAAGAGGACTCCCCAAGTGATAAGCTTCAAGGCCCCCCAAAACCTGGCTCTGCCCCTGCAGACAGGTGATGGGAATGCTGAGTAGTGGATACAGGGGTGGTGGAATGTGGGGCTCTGGGGGCACAGCGCGCACGGCCCAGCCAAAGGCCACTGCTCGCCCTGGCTTACGGTCATGCAGGAGTACAGGCCAGGGCTGCCAGGCCTCCCCACACTTCAGGAGAGCCAGCAAGCCGGGGCTTCCTGTGATTTCTTGATAATTAAAAACATTGATAAATATTTCAAACTGAAAAACACTGTAGACAGGAAACACGCTACCAGTGTGTCATCTCTGCTAGTGGCCCCTGCAGACCCCTCTCCCCTGTGGGCTTGTGTATTATCTTACTTACTCTTCAAGATGGCCCCAGGAAGAAGTTCACATCCCCCATTTACAGATGAGGAACACGAGGCCCAGCTGCTGCTCCACTGTGGAGAGGCAGAGCCGGAACTGGAACTGCTGGCCAGGCCCCTTGTGGAACCCTACGCTTTACTTGTCAGCCAGAAACAGGTGACGCAAGGTCACCTCCCACCTTGAGGTTTCTTGGAGTAGACCGGTACCCAAGCTGCCTGTGCTGGGAACACTGGGGTTAGGTTTGGGGGCCTGTCACCAGGCAGGCCACAGTTCGGTCTGTCAGAATGAGGGTAGTAGGGCAGTGTGATGGAGCAGCAGGTCAGCTTGTGGCCTCTTGGTCAGCTTTGCCTTTTTCCAGTTCTTTCCTGTTCCTCCCCATGTCCTCGCAGCTATGCTGTCTCGTAGGAAAAGTCTGGGAGTGGGACTGGACCTGTTTCTACTGCTTGAAGCACAGTGCTGTCTGTGCTCATCGGGAGGGTGACAGTCGCCAATCCTCATGTGTGTCGGCAGGGACTTGGAGAGACTTGCAGGCGAGGTCCTGGGCCAGGTCTTGGGGAGCAGACTCCATGTGTTCAGCAGCACTGGTGGGGGAGGCCCGCGACGGCTGGGGTGTGAATCCTCATGAGTGACTGACCTTGGAACTCAACTAACGTCTAAGCCATTTTCTTTTCTTTCTTTTTTTTTTTTTTTAAAGATTTTATTGGGGAATTGGAGGAGGGGAACAGTGTTGGGGAATCGGGGAAGGGGAACAGACAAGTTGCTGTCCTTTTGTTCTTCAGTCTAGTTGTAGAGGACGTTGCTTCACGGGCCCATGTTGATATTATCATTGCGCTTTTCCCGGGTGAGGCAGTCACTCCCTGGCCTTTGGACGGCTGCTCACGGCGGCTCTTAGCAGCTCACGCTGGCTGCCGACCACACACGGTAGCTTATGACAGCCCACTGCAGCCCCACTGCAGCCTACGCTATTGCCGGCGACTCACGAAAGCCCAGCTCCAGGTCGAGCTGTTCTCCATCTTAGCTGTAGAGGGCGCAGCGTCACTGGCCCTCATGTGGGATCCGAACCGGGGCCCTGCTGCTCAGAGCTGGCATCCCAAGCCAGCTCTTAACCAACGCGCCACTCGGCCGGCCCCATAAGCCATTTTCCTTGGGACACTGTCACTAGTCGCAAACTGCATCCCACTCGATGGTCAGGTGCTCGCTAAGCAGAGCTGTTGAGTGAGTGTAAACCAGCAGGGCTGAGGGCTGAGGGCTGAGGGCCCCCTGCCTTCACAGGTGATGCCTTCATAGGTGATGACTTCACATGTGGGTACCTACACAGCCCCCTGTTCAGCAGTCCTCTTAGGATTCATTGTTGAGACACACACAGCCCAGTGAAAGGAAAGATCCTAGGAACAGAGTGTGGAGGAGGCTGAGGGAAGGCAAGTAGGGGCCAGAATCGGGGCAAACTCATACTCGACTGTGTTTGGTGGGGCCCGGGATTCTAATGGTCCATTTTGTCCCAGTGAAATGTGTCACTGACTGCTCCTGCTCCTAATTCTGATGACACTGTTTACCTGTGACAGGCACTCCATGATGTACCTGTGAGTTTCTGGCTTCACAGGTCAGCTGGCAGGCGAAACTGACACACCATTATTTAACGTTGTCATTGGTGTCAGCATAAGAAATGTCCAGACATGTAGAGAATTTTTATAAGAGTTTATTTGAGCCAAATTGACGACATTCCCAGGGAGCAAGATCGCAAATGCCCCGGAGAATAAGTTTTGCAGCTTTTTTTTTAGGGAGGAATGAGGAAGGTGACACGGAGGTGGGAGAGCAAGGCGGGGATTGGGTTACAGGAGAGTTAACGCGACTGTGCTCTCCTGAGGGTGGTTATGGGTTATTTCAAAGGTGTGATGACCTAGCTGCACAGAAACAATGGACGGGGCTGCTTAAGGCTTAGAGGCCTGGGGTGTGACGACCCGCCATGACCTGCCAGTTAGGGACATATGATCAGAGCACCCTGTGAGGTCACTTTCGGTCACTGGACTTGTCAGGTTTATTATAGAGCCCTTTCTCCTCCACACTGATGTCCTTTATCTTTTCCTCTGAGTTGCTACCTGTTGATACGAAAATAACTATTGCAAACCCTCGGATAAACGCCTCAGGAACGCCGAGGCCCTTTTCTGACCAAGCTTCTCTTGCCTCCCTCAAGCTGTTCAGGATGGTCTTTTCCCTTGTAGTTGGGTGTGGCTGAACCCCTGACAACCCCAAAGTGAATTTCCCCAGGCCTCTGCCGCATTATTGTCAAACGATTCTGGATGGTCCTTATCGAGAGCCCTGGCAGGGCCAGCAGCCGCGGGGCCACCTTCCTTCAGCCCATCATTCTCGTAAACCTCACCTCTCCCTGCAGGTCTCTGCCGCCTTCGTGCAGAGAAGGGGTTGAGCTTGGGGCAGGCCCTCCCTGCTGTCCAGTGCTCTCAGCTCCCTAGTGGAGAAACCACCGGGGCAGCGACAGTGGGCCGAGCCTGTGAGGTCCGTGTGAGGCAGGCACGCGTGTCTCCTCTTCCGGCAGCACTTTTGAGGGCAGAGGAAACAGCATGCAATGCTGCACGAACAGGTGGGAGCGGTGACGGGGCCTGGGGGCAGGACTGGTGTGGTCCAGCTCTGCTCTCAGGAGGCGGCCTTGACCGCTGTGTGGAGGGACTGTGGCAGCGTCGGGCAGATGCAGCCGGAGCTCTGCAGGTCCAGGGCTCGATGGGCTGTGGCCTATGCCTGAGGGACAACCGAAGAAAGGGTGGGCTGAGCACACATGCGGCAGGACGGGCTACCTGTCAGGAGGGTGTGTGCAGTCCTCTGATGTCACTAGGGCCGACGGACCCCAGCTGACCCGGGAGAGGTTTGGAGGTAGCCTGCGGAGAGCCTCAGGTTTCTGAGCACCAAGACTGCCTGTTTATTGTTGTTCAGTAGAGCCAAGTCCCTCAGGGAAGGTTCACTGAATGAACGAGTCCTGGAGGGTGTTGAGAGAGCACATCCACTCTGGTCTCCTGTGTGCGGGGTGGGCTTCTGGGGCATGGCTTACGGGGGCTTTGAACAGCACAGGTCGCCTCTTAGGAGAGATGGCGTCATCTTGTCTTTGCAAGAGTCCTCAGGGGCTTTGCCTTCAGCTGTCACTCACACCCCCTCCTGGTGGCTGTAGGAGGGTGGATTTGGGTGGGCGTCATGGAAGAAGGGACTAGTCAGGAGTAAAGCTATGCCCACTCTAGGGGTGTGTGTGTGTGCGCGCGTGCGTGCGTGCGTGCGTGAGCGTGCGTGTGCGCGCAGGTGTGTGCGTGCGTGTGTGTGCGTGCGCGTGTGTGTGTGTGCATGTGCGTGTGTGTGTGCGGCAGTGCTCCACTGGCCTCGGGGTGAGTGGGGTGAGGTCCCATCCTGCCTCCGCAGTGCTTTGCACCTGCCTCTCTTGCAAATATATAGTGGCTGCTCCATTTGCCAGCAAACACATATTACGTGCCACCTGCATGCTGGATAGAGCTCTGGGTAGCCCCACTCCAGGGGAAAGGTGTGTGGGAGGAGAGGGGACAGGGTACATCCAACAAGCACAAGGTAACATGGTGAGCACTCTGGAAACAGCGCGGTGGGAGCCCAGGCCTGGGGGCTGGGCGGGCGGGGGCCAGTCTGGGAGGGCTCTGAAGAGTAGAGTGAGTCCAGAGTTTCTGCAGAACAGGTCAAGTGTGAGGACTCCGGAAGCTGGTGGTGGAACAGGTGAATCTGAAATAGTTAATAAAACTGGAAGCTTGGATCAAGCAGTCCCTGTGCTCTGCTCCCTGGTGAAGTGTCAGAGATGGTGGCTGTGTCTGCTGCCTTCTCCAGCGGTAGGAGAATGCTTAAGGTGTCTGAGGGCCCAAGGTTGGGCAACTCACGGGACAGCAAGAGAGACCCGTGCCTATCTTACGCCTGGGCTTCCACCTGGACTGAGAAGAGCTGCACCACATGTGTGTGGGTCATAAACGGTGGCCCTGAGGGCTCCTTGGAGATCCTGGTGAGGTTGGAGCTGATGGGCTCGCCCTGCTCCACCTGTGTTCTCTCCCTGCCTCTGGCTCCAGATGGGTTTGGTCACGTGATGGGCAGAGGCGGGTCCTGGGCTCCACCTGGCCACCTGGGACCAGCAGCCGGCTCCATGCCAGGCTTCCCATGACCCGCTGACCTGAAAGGGGAGCAAGGGGCCGGAATCTTTTCTGACTGGCTCCCTGCTCCCTGTGCTGGAACCAGGCGCCCCGATGACACAAACAGCTGAAGCTAGGGAGGGGTCCTTTCCGCTGAGGGCTCCTGGTTGCTGTGACTTCAGCCTCTTGTCCACAAAAATGACATATCCCAGAATACCGCTTACGAACATTTCCAAAGTCATGGCCTGTCACGTATAGCTTAGGCTCTTATGCTAAAAAGAAGTAGGGAAGTTTGATTTCTGCTAAGTCTTATCTGCACTACATTTGTACAGACTCATGTAGCAGGAGCGGTGGATGGAGAAACCAAGTTTCCGTCCCTGTTGGTTCTCCTCCTGCTGGCCCAGCAAGTGGCATCCCCATTTACACTCAGCCTCCCACATCACACATTGGCGCCAGACGCCCAGACTTGCTTTCCGTGTCCCTGTACCCAGCTGCTACTGTGCGGCTCTCTCTTCAGTCCTTCCCATGCCAGAGCCTCAGCAACTCCTGTCCCTCCCTAGGAGGGGCGAGGCTCAGCAGCAGCTGTACCTGACTCCGGGCCCCACCCCTTGCGGGGTGCCTTTGGTTTCTTCACCTTTTTTCCTTGGCACCCAGTTCCCTTCCTCAGAGGCAACTCCTCTTTAGCAAAGTTCTAGATGCCCAGGTTCTTCGTCTCTTTCTGGTGCCTAAGGGTTTAGATGGCTTTCGTCGCTGCATAAGTCTTTCACCAGCGGCTCAGATGTTAAATAGGTGGGTCTGGAGACAGTTCCCAGGTTCATTGCTTACAGCTGTAAATAGAAATTGCCTTGTGCTCTGAAATGAATTCCATTATAATCATAAAGAAAAGGAAGGGAGAATACAGTGAAATCATTTGACTCCTTTTTTGAAAGTTTTTATAGCTTTATTTATTTTTTTTTAAAGATTTTATTGGGGAATTGGGGGAGGGGAACAGCACTGGGGAATCGGGGAAGGGGAACAGACAAGTTGTGGTCGTTTTGTTCTTCAGTCTAGTTGTGGAGGACGTTGCTTCACTGGCCCATGTTGGTATTATGATTATTGTGCTCTTCCCAGGCGAGGCAGATCAGTTGCTGGCCTCTGGACGGCTGCTCACGGCAGCTGCTGGCTGCTCACGCTGGCTGCCGGCTACACTCGGTAGCCCATGGCACCCCACTGCAGCAGGGGCTGCAGCCTATGCCGTCGCCGGCAACCCATGGCAGCCCAGCCCCAGGTCGGGCTGCCGTTCACCATCTTAGCTGCAGAGGGCAGTGTCACTGGCCCTCATATTTGGGATCTGAACCGGGGCCCTCTGGCATCTCAAGCCAGTTCTTAACCAACGTGCCACTCGGCCGGCCCTATAGCTTTATTTTTTATATAATTTTAAATTTATTGAAAACTTGCAAGAAAAATACAAGAACTCCCATGTATTGTTCACCCAGACTCACCAGCTGTTTACATTTTACTCCCTTTGTTTTATCCTTTCTGTGAGCGTGGTACATGAAGCATTGGAAGAATCCATTGGAGATGTCATGCCCCTCTCTCCCTAAATATATCAGTGTATTTCCTAAGAACAGGGGCGTTCTCTTACATAACCATAGTATAATGATAAAGACCAGGAAATTTAACGTTAATCCAATTCTGTTTCTAATCCACACCCTATATTCAGAGTTTGTCAGCTGTCCCAATAACTTTTTTTATAGCTAACCCCCCATGGTCAAGGATCACCTATTGCATTTAATTGTCAGGTCTCTTCAGTCTCCGTGTAACCTGGGACAGCTCCCCAGCTTTCCTTTGTCTCTCGTGACCCTGACATTTTTAGAGTCTAGACCATTATTTCCTGGACTGTCCCTCGGTTGGGGTGTGTCTGCGTCCCCTCGTGGCTGCATTTAGGTGATGCATTTTTGGGTAGCTGCCAACAACCTGGTGGCGTGTGCTTTCTCTCCTGACATGGGGGTGCCAGCTCTGATCCCGTGGCTAAGGAGGCTTCCCCACTGTAGAGGGAACTAGTTTTGCCTTTGTAATTAACAAGTATTTGTGGGAGATACTTTTCAAACTCTGTAAAAATCCTGTTCCTCATCCACCTTTTACCTACCAGGTTTAGCATCCACTGATCTTTTCCTAACTCCATCAGTCTCTCGTACTTATTAGGTGACATTCTAAAGCTTTCCTTCCTCCTCCATTTACTAATGTTCACTTATTTGTAGCCATATGGACTCATGCACTTCTGTTTTATTCAGTGGATTATAACCCCTTGTTTTCATTATTTCTGTGATAAAATTGTTCCAGATTTAGCCAATGGGAGGAGCCCTTTCAAGCTGGCAGCTGTTCCCGTTAGACACACTTCTTGGAGTGCTTTCTTACTTCCTAGCACACAAAATGCTGCAGGCTCATCTTATACTTTCCACCGAGCCGTGGAAATCATTTGTTTTTAAAGAGTACATAAATACTGTGCATTCCAAAACGTAGTTTATCTCGTAAACCATTTGGGGTTTATGTGTGCTATTTGGGGCTTTTGTTTACACATTGTTGGGAGAGAAGACCTGGTGACTGTCTCATGGGTGGCTTTCTTTTTATGATACACGGAGACTCTTTATAAACAAACAGTGCAGATTTATTTACCTTATAGATCATTGAAACTAAACTAAAGCTTAAGTACTAAAGCAGCTGTTATTCTTTAAGTACACTGATTGTGTCCTTATAATTTTAATTCAGACAAAGACCCTTGTTAAACATAAGGAAACAGGCTCAGAGAGATTAATATACTGGTTAGAGTCACACAGCTAGTGAGTGGTTGAGCCAGTGTTTCAATTTAGTTTGTTCTGACTTCAAAGTTCATTTTTTCTGATCTAATTTGTTGTGAAATAATACAGTTCCTTACTCTAAACGATTGTACATGTAACAATTGAATAACAAAAAGCTTATTTGTGGTTCAGGGTCTTTCGCCTGCTGCATAATTCTGTGTCTGTATGAAAATCAAATCGAAAAATTAAAGTTTATGGTTCATTGCACTGTTCTCATAGGAAGTCTGCTTGTTTTCATTAGAGTCTCTCAGCTGTCCTAGTGTCCTAAAACACCTGGAAATTCCCTAACCCTTTTATTTTCTTCCTGTAGGAATTTGCTTGCTAGAAAACAAAATGCAAGACTTGACAAACAAAATGACTTGGGATGGAAGTTATTTGGAAAAATACCACTCCGAGAGAATGCTCAGAAAGAGTCAAAGAAAATACAAAAGGTATACAAGATAAAACATACAGAAATATGCTGTATAGCATATACTTACGAACCTTGCAAAAATGACTGTTATTGAGGCTGGAAAACTGTGTATTAATTTGCATGTCAAGTTCCTAACATTTAAGTCTGTCCTCAGAATGTCAATGACTAACCTTTTTCATTTCTTACAGTTTCTAACATGTACATAGGAGTGTTCGGTTGATAGAGCTGGACTTTATTTAGATATTTATAACTTGATTTGATTTAAACATTTTTCCAATAATAGTTGCAAATGTGTTTATTATCAATTTTTATTAATTGTGTTTGATATTAAAGAATGCTCCCTCCCTGATCCTGTGGGTTTCTTGGCACTTAATGCTTCCACTGCTAGCTTTGGCTGGGAAGGCTAGCCCAGGGCCATTGTTCACCTAGGCCAGGGGTCGGCAAACTTGAGACAAAAGAGCCAATCCTGTCCCTCACAACAATTTAAAAATTATTCGAGAGCCATAAAATAAATGAAATCATCATTATGTGAATAACATCCTTTAAAAATTTTACAAGTGAACCTATGATAGTTTTATTTTCATTTTCAGTTTTACTTCAGAGCCACATGTATGTACCCAAAGAGCCGCATGTGGCGTTTGCAGACCCCTGACCTAGGCAGTAGTGAGCCCCTGCCCCCTGCTGGCTTGGAAGCTGCCCACCTGCGTGTGGGGGAGGGGACAGGGCTCAGGGTCAGGCCAGGCCTGTGGTATCTCCTGACCCCCGGGCTCCCAATGCAGAGGCTATGCCAGCAGCTGGAGACCTGTGTTCATCCTTCCAGGGAGGGTGCTCGTGTACGGGCACAGCAAGGCAGCCCTGACTGTCACCACCTGTGTCTTCTCCTAGGCCCTGAGTCTCAGCCATGCCAGCAGCCTGCTGTGTGCCCGGTGCTGTGACACTGCCCCCCTCCAGCCTCAGTTTTGTATTCATGCGTAACTGTTCAGTAGACACTGGAGGATCTACCTAGTGCCGAGTGCTGGTCTCATGCTCAGGAGCACCCCTCGGGTGAGGAGACGATCCCAGGGCAGGTGTTGCCAGGAGCTGCACAGGTGTGTGGGGAGGGCGGCAGGACTGCTGAGCAAGGCCACGGGAGATGGAGGGTCAAGGTGTGACGGAGAAGCAGTAGTGGTGGGACTGGGTCATGTCAGGGGTTCCTGTGCAGTCGTGTCAAGGGAGCCCGCTCCTGCGTTTCTAGTGCATTTAAAGCTCGTAACGGCCGTCCAAGGAAGAAACCATTGTCCTCATTTTACCGGAGACGCAGTGACACAGGCTGAGCGACTTGGACAGCTAGTGAGTGGCGGAGCCGGAACTCAGCCCCAGGCCGTCGGGCCCCTCACTGCGCCTCTGTTTCGCTGCTGGAAGGGGCAGCGTGAGCCCAAGCAGCAGTGAGAGGGGGCTGTCTAGGGGGCCTCTGTGACATGATGTGCCGTGCCTGGAACGTCTCTACCCTGAAGGCTCTGGGGAGCCCCTGGAGGGTTCTACTTATATAAAGGGTGATAGGGTCACCCTGGCGAGAATGTGGCTCTAGGACTAGTCCAGATGAGAAAAAGTGCTCAGGGCTGTTGTGGATTGCAGGGGACGGTTCCTCTGAGTAATGAACATGTTAGATATGGGGGTGCAGTGTGTGGGGTGAGGCAGTGAGCACACGCTGGGGCTCTGCTTGGATGATAAGGTAGATATGCAATACTTTATTTTTTATGTGTCGGCAGGTTACATTTTTTTTTTTAAAGATTTTTATTGGGGAATTGGGGGATGGGAATAGCGCTGGGGAATTGGGGAAAGGGGAACAGACAAGTTGCTGGCTTCTGGACGGCCGCTCACTGCGGCTGCTGGCTGCTCACGCTGGCTGCTGGCTACTCACTGTAGCCCATGACAACCCACTGCAGCCTACGCCGTCTGCAGCGACTCACGGCATCACAACTCCAAGTTGAGCTGTTGTTCAGCATCTTAGCTGTAGAGTGTCACTGGCCCTCATATGTGGGATCCGAACCGGGGCCCTCTGGCGTCCCAAGCCGGCTCTTAACCAACGAACCACTTGGCCGGCCCAGGTTAGCATTTGTTTTGAATGTTGTCTGACATTCCGTATAGCAGGTGTCTGGACTCAGGAGCAAAGTAAATCAGTGTTGGAATTCGTTTTTATAGATGGTTACATTTTAAGTTTGAGTCACTTATTGTGTAGACTTACTAAAATAGCATGAAATTAGAATACAAGGCATTTGTTTGCAAAGCTCAGGTATAAATTTCTTAGGAAACTAAGTAGCCAAGCAATTAAAATTTTTTAAAAGAAATTCACACTTCCAAAAAAGTAACTATCATACTAAGTAGATTTTCCTGTGGCTTTTAATATCACTTGCTTCGTGTTTGAGTTTCTTTGCTATCTTTTTCGTATCATTTTTTTATTTTTAAGGTGAAATGGATTATGTTCTAGGACTTGAAGGATTTTGTGAACTGGAATGACTAGGTCAGCTCATTACGTGGTAACACAACCCTGCAGAGCAGAGGGCCGTCTGGCTTTAGCTATCAATAATAAAGGACGTCATTGTACCTGCAGGAGTCACACGATCCTGCCAGGTCCTGTCTGCTTGTGCTTTGGGTCTTCGGTGCTCTCATCTCCCGCCCCATCCCCTCCTCCCGCCGGCTGGCATGGCCTGGGCGTGATCCAAAGCCAGGGACCTGCCCCTGTAGGGGAGGCTGCAGGGCACCGGGCTCAGGCTGGCTATGGTCGCAGATGTGAGCTCACACACTCTGGAGAGCCTGGGGCTGGGGCCTTTGTGTCTAGACTTGTGGTCCCTAAAGGTGATCACAACTCCGGTTAGAGCAGAAGCATAAATAAGATGTCTAGGATAATCTAATACTTTGCCTTTTCTGTTTGAAATGCTTTTACTACTTGAGAGAAGCAACATCACATAGTGATGGACTTTGGAGTCAGACTGCCAGGGTTGGTAGCCCAGCTGTGCCACAATTGGGCTGTGTGACTTTGGGCAGATTACTTAACCTTTCTGAGCCTCATTTTCCTCCTCTCTAAAATTTTGAGAATAGTAGTACCTACCTTTGAGGTGAGGATTAAATGGGTGAATCTCATCATGTGCTCAGAACAGTACTGACTGTCCTAAGTGCTGGAAAGTGTTTGCTGTTATTGTTTCTTTCCTGGGGCAAGTCTACCTTGAAACAGGAAATGAAACAGTATGAGAGAGTGAGCCTGAGCCCTCCGCATGTCCCTTCATTTGCTTGTCCAGCAGACAGTGAAGTGTGCCATGTTGGGGCCAGGTTGTGTGCCGGCCCTGGGAGCACAAAGGGGCTGGGTCAGCACGCCTTGAGGAGCCTTGGCTGAGCTGAGGGGACAGGTGCACACCTGCCAGGGTCTTCGGACTTGAGGCTTCACCTCTTAACCTGTGTGACCTTGGGCCAGTCACTTCTCAGTTGCTTCATCTGCCAAATGGGCATTGTGCTTCCTACTCACTGGGCTCTTATAGATTAAGAGATAATGTGTGTGAGATGTTTTTGCCCCTTGTTTAGCACAGCATGTGGCCAGAGTAGTTCTCAAGGGGTGGCTGTCATGACTTTTAGATAATAAATAGGCCCAGTAGGTGGCCTAGGTGCTGGCTGTGGTTTTCCCAGGGCACCTGGGGTGACATATGCCTTCATTCTAACTGGGCCAAGTTCTCTTGGCTTGAGTCTTATATGTACATGGCTACCACCGTTCAAATGTTGCTTTCAGTTAACATTTCAAATTTCATAAAAATTTTGAAAAGTAAGTAATTTTCTATCAGCTTGCATTAGGATTTCAGAGAGATTTTCTTAATAGGGGAAATAAAAATGAAATAAAAATAAAAGCTATGAGACACACACTAAGACAGTGGTTCCCAAAGTGTGGCCCCAGACTAATGTCGTCATCTCCTGGGCATTTGTTAGAAACACAAGGCAGCAGGCCTTCCCCTTCACGGAACACACTTCAGCGGGGGGAGGGCAGCGAGCGCCCCAGGTAGTCCTAGTGCATGCCAAAATGTGAGCGCCTCTGCTGTGCGAGAAGGGTTGCTGGATTTGGGGAGGAAAGTAGCCATCTTTCCCATAGCAGGTTGAATGAAGGGCCCAAAGCGCAGCTCGTACACAGCTCAGCAGTGGCTCTTGAGAATAGAGATGGGAGACTGCATTTGCAGAAGGCTGGCTGCCTTCAGGTGTGTATGGAGTGGGACTCTGGCCTCGTGGGCACGGGCGATGATGCTGTCTCGGAAGTGCAGTCCTTTGCCTCGTGAACAAAGTGGAACCTTCCTCCTTGGGTTCCATGGTCCTTCCATTTGTTCCACAAATTTGCGCCACGGTGTGGAGCCGTTGTTGGGATTATAACGAAGGGCAAGACTTATTTGGCCCTGCTTTCGTTGGAACTTACCATGAATCAGGGAAAAACAGACTGAAACAAATGCCGTTACAGGTAATTGCATCTGTGACAAATGTTGTGCAGAAGTGGAGTGCAGCCATCCCAGAGGTGTCTGCATCACTAACTAAGCACATTTCTCAGAAATCAGATTTTTCAAATGACTGCCAGTTGCCGGATCTGATGGTCGTTTCTCAGCCCTCGCCTCAGCTGCCCTTTCCTCTGCTCTTAGGTCACAACCACATTCTCCCTCCTTGTCAGTTTCCTCTGCTCGGTGCCCTCTAAATGTTAGAGTACCTCTCGGGCTCTTCTCTGTCTGTGGTCGCCCTTTAGGCAATCTCACTGAACTCGAGGCTTGAAACATCATGCCTGCGCCGACAGCCTCGACATGTGTCTCCTGCCGGGCCCTCATCTCTGAACACAGATGTGGCGGCCAGCTGTCCACGTGGATGTCTGCTAGGCGTTTCGTGTTCAGCCAGTACAGGGCTGAACCTCATCTTCTTTTCCCCGCTTTTCCAGGCCTGTTCCCTTTGCATCTTTTTCCATTTTGGTAAGTGACAGACTTGACCCCCTATTTCAGGCCTGAAACTTTAGAACTGTTCTTGACT